AGTAGGTGGCATCATAATGCAGTGTTTACTCCGTAAATATTGTGCTGGTAAACATGGTTTAACCATTTCCAAAGATAAACACTAGCCTAGGTATAAAATATGGCAAGCCAGAACCGAACAGCCGAAGATGCTCAGTGAGCCAACCTATTTGCCGTCCCAAATCGCTATACACATATGAACAGTGGCACTGATTTGATCGAAATGTATAATGCCTTTCAATTGATAACATTGTGAACGGGATGCAGGTCATGACTGATAAACATAATGGCTTCGGTGATTATTGCTGATATAGCGTTAGATGAGGATTTACTTCATCGTCAAACACCTAATACGAGTATGACTATCATTCTAAGCAAAATAAAATACCAAGAGCAAACTCATCCCTTTTATGTCGAAATAATGCCTGCACAGAGACTCATTCGCGGACATAGCACGCGCCCATTGTGACGTGGACAGACGAGCTGACGGATATGACGTCCTCTACCACTGACGTAAATCACGATGACGTCGAACCGTGACGCACAGGATGCCGGCAGACTAACCGCGGTGACATTTTGACGGGTCGAGTGACGCCCGGCTCTAGCCTCTAACCGCATGAGACTCGTGACGAGAAAATGACATCGTCAGTCAGTACCGAACATGTTTGTGGTCTTTGAAAACGACGAGTGTGACCGCTAGAGATGGCCGTAAATTTAAACAAGTTGATGGTTTGAGGTACCTTGCTGAGCCTCATGCAATGCAGTGACAATGCCACGCGACACTCTTCTTTTCCACAGTAAATGGATGTGACACTTGGTGCCAAGCCAATGGCTATGAAAACTTTAGGTAGGCGATCGTTGAGTAGGGGAGAGCGGGGCCAGTTGAACCACTTTTTATATATTGACATGCACAGCGAGATCTAGTAGTCATATCGAAAAATGCACAATGCCATGAAAAAATATGCTCTTTTGGCTTTATTTTAAGATATGTAAAATTATGTTTCAAACATATTTTGCTGCCAAACGCATGCTTATAAAACAGCTCTACGCCCGTTTCAAATGACCCCGATGCGAGGGTCAATTGAACCAGCCCATGGGGTCAATTGCACCTATCCTTAACAATGGGATGTTTTCCTCTTTAAGGCCACTTTCTTAAGGAGATATTTTGTCCGGTTTACTTTTCCAAATGCTATATTCAATAGGTCGTTGGAAAGCTAAAAGTGCAAAGTTCCTCATAATAGGTGACATTAAGTACATAGACTATGGTAAAATGGGCGGATGAGAAAAATGAGAAATATCTCAGGCTATAGTGTGCTTTCAAGCAAAAGGCTGGAGAAAAAGGGGTCAAAAATTGAGCTCTATTAAACTACTATTTTAGTGTAAAAGCTCATTTCAAAGGTGGACTATTTCCTTTAATGTTTACAGCCCCTGAACAATTACCATTGCAAAGGTCACCGGGGTCCATTGAAACGGCCTGTGGCCCTGTTTCAACTCACCCTCAGAGAAGCGTTTCAATTGACCCCATCCGCTCCCGCCATCTCGCACGCGCCGTAAAGCATATGCCAAACGAGCTGGAGGGACGGCATCATGCTGAATGAAGGGCCAAGCAGGGGCGGATCCAAGGGGGGGTCACATGGGTCATGGCCCCCCCCCCTTGAGGCCCGGGGGCCCAAAGACCTGCCAGGGGCACCACCGGCCTATCAGGGGTATCACAGTCCTGACAGGGGCACCACAGGACCGCCAGGGGCATCACAGGCCTAGCAGGGACACCACGGGCCTGGTGCCCCTGGGCCCTGACAGGACTGTAACGCCCCTGACAAGCCTGAAGTGTCCCCGGCAGGCACGTGGTGCCCCTGACAGGCCGGTGGTGCCCCTGGCAGGCCTGTGGTGTCCATGGCAGGCCTGTGGTGCCCTTGCTAGGCCTCTGGTGCCCCTGACAGGCTTGTAATGCCCCTGGAAGGACTGTGGTGCCCCTGGGCCCTGACAAGCCTGAGGTGCCCCTGACAGGCCAGTGGTGCCCTTGCTCGGCCTGTGGTGCCCCTGGCAGGCCTCTGGTGCCCCTGACAGGCTTGCGGTGCACTTGGAAGGACTGTGGTGTCCCTGGGCCCTGACAAGCCTTAGGTGCCCCTGACAGGCCCGTGGTGCCCTTGTTAGGCCTGTGGTGCCCCTGGCAGGCCTCTGGTGCCCTTGCTAGGCCGCTGGTGCCCCTGGCAGGCCTCTGGTGCTCTTGCTAGGCCGCTGGTACCCCTGCGCCCGGAGAGGACTGGTGCCCCTGAAAAGTCTGAAGTGCCCCTCGGCAGGCCCGTGGTGCCCCTGACAGGCCCAAGGTGCCCCTGCGAGGCCGGTGGTGCCCCTGGCAGACCTCTGGTGCCCCTGGCAGGTCTGTGGTGCCCCTGGCAGGTCTGTGGCTCCCCTGGCAGACCTGTGTTGACTGGTGCCCCTGCTAGGTCGCTGGTGCCCCTCACAGACCTGTGGTGCCCCTGGGCCTTGACAAGCCTGAGATCCCTGGCTATGACAGGCTCGTGGTGCCCCTGATAGACCAGTGGTGCCCTTGCTAGGCCTGTAGTGCCCCTGGCAGGCCTCTGGTGCCCCTGCTACCCCTGCGCCCGGAGAGGACTATGGTGCCCCTGAAAAGCCTGAAGTGCCTCTCGACAGGCCCGTGGTGCCCCTCCTGACAGGCCCAAGTTACCCCTGCGAGATCGGTGGTGCTCCTGGCAGGCCTCTGGTGCCCCTGGCAGGTCTGTGGTGCCCCTGGCAGGCCTGTGTTGACTGGTGCCCCTGCTAGGCCGCTGGTGCCCCTCACAGGCCTGCGGTGCCCCTGGAAGGACTGTGGTGCCCCTGCCCCTAGGGGTGCTCATGGGCCCAACAGGCCCGTTGTGCCCCTGACAGGCCTGTCGTGTATACTTGCTAGACCTGTGGTGCCCCTGCTTCCTGGCAGGCCTGTGGTGCCCCTGGCGGGTCTGTGGCGCCCCTACAAGGCCGTAGTTGCCCGTGACAGGTTTGTGGTGTCCCTGGAAGGACTTTGGTGCCCCTGACAAGCCTGAAGTGTCAAGGACAGACCCTTTATACGCCAGGGTCAAGTTCGTCGGACTGACAACGATTTGCTTACCTGATAACGTTCCTGGTAAGTACTCACTACTCAGCGTCCACAACATATATACACATAGCACATTCATATATACTTGCTTACAATTGGTAAATGTGGTTGTGGCTAAGAGTTAAGATACTGACTGAAAAAAAAAATAAAAAGAAAAAAAACTGAAAATGGGGGCCCCACCAAAATGAAGTGGACGAAATCCGTTGAGTTTTTAATTTTGGGTATAGGTAGGGGCACCACTTCGATTCATGACCCTCCCCTTGGAGTTTTCCTGGATCCGCCCCTGGGGCCAAATAAGGTGTTATTCCGGAGCCAGGAGTTCTTCTTTCAGCAAACAAAGGTATATGAGATATCACAAAATATTCATAAGAACGATTTCTCCCAAACGCCCCTCAAAAACACAAAAACAAATGTCAAATCAAAATTACCGTCCGTTTGCCGCCCAAACGCCGTTGACAAAGGAAGTGGTCGAGCGCGGATGCGCAGTGGTGTCGGCAACGCCATATGTTGCATACTGTTGAAAATAAAGCCATGTTTCATCTGACCCCGTGTTTCAACTGGCCCCGCTCTCCCCTATCCTAAAAAGGTGTCAATCAAAGCATGATCTTCGTTTTCATAGCATTATCTTCGTTATTGTGAGGAACTTTGCCACGTATTCAATTGTTCAACCATTGACGCCACCGTCGTTCAGTCTCCATCACACCGTCATACCGTCACCGTCATACCGTCACCGTCATACCGTCACCGTCATACCTTTACCGTCATACCGTCATCGTCATACCGTCACCGTCAATACCGTCACCGTCACCGTCATACAGTAACCATCACAGCGTCGCCGTCACCGTAATACAATAACCGTCAACAGCGTAACCGTCATACAGCAACCGTCACAACGTCACTGTCACAACGTCACCGTCACTGTCAGATACTATCGGCTCCCGGGCCGCGGGCACTCGCCGGTCGCTGCCGGTGGCGGCCGGCCGTCCTTTGGACCAGCTGCACCGATCCCCTGACGTCAGAGACCTGTGTACTCGGCACACACGGCAGCGGGCCATGACGTCAGCAGCAGCTCAAATGGTGTCGCCGCGCCGCCGCGCTGGGGGACGGGCTGACTCAGCTGGCGGGGGGGGGGGGCAGTGGTATAGGCGGATGTGGAGGGGAGCTAGGGAGAGATAAGGGAGAACGGGAGGCGCGATTGTTGAAGAGGAGAGAGTGAGGTGTGATAGAGCAATAATGCAGTCTTTCATGGCTGAACATGGGTGTTTTAGTGGCACAGGACGCTGACAAATGAACCCAAATGACCTAACCCAACTATAAAGGGTACCGACAATTAGGTACTGTGTGGTTTTCTATAACGGATGGCCCGAGAGGATATTTTGAGCGATATTCGGCAGTGATCAGTGAAAGTCTACTTGCAGACCAGGCGGATCTTTTGAACTGAATTTATTAAATTAGTAAACACGAAATCACTCCAGAATACATTGAACCGAAGTAGACATTGTATTTACCACCATTCTACAAATGTTCGCCTTTTCATTCCAGATCATACTGTTACCCTGAATGTAGTTGGACTTGAAAATAGTCGATCTCAAAGCTGTGTGGTGCAGAATATACCTGTATTTCAGCGCACGTGTGTCCTTGTCATATACAAATATGCTCTTAGGCCGCTTTTAAACCATTCATTTCCATAAATGGACGGTATTGAAGTAATTATAAGACGCTTTTCATTCCACAGCCACATATGTACTAAAAGAAATTGGCCAATTAACAGGATATCTTGCGCTCGCCTCGCGTTGCGCTGGCCTACAATCTGCATATACCTCTGAAGAACGATGTACAGAGGTCTATGGTAGGCATTAGAAATCATACTATTTGCCAATGAATGGGGAATGTACTGTGGAAAACTGTTCTCTTTGCGAGATACGAATCTAACATTCCCTTGTTTCATTTCAGCCGTCACAATGGCGAAAGGTGAAAGGCGTGGTGCAGTGGACTCCGTTCGTACAAACCTACAAGAAACAGAAGTACCTCTGGGTTCAGCTGGCCGGACACCAAGGTATGACGTCAATAAGCTATCGAGACGTGATCAATTCACCAGACTAATGAGCGTATTGTATAGCTGCACAGGCAAGACGGGTGTAATTAGTGAAAGATGTTATCGGCCAATATTTCAGACAGTCTCCATTGCGAGCTCTATTTTATGTGAGCCGTAGAGCCAAAATTAGCTACTGCACGATATGCCTTCTTGTAAGTACGGTATTGCATCATCTCATCTGGTTATCCGTGATTGAATGTATGGCGATTCGGGGCACATGTACGGCCGTGCGTGCGGTCACGGTAGGTATCCGCCGCATGGCCGGCGCTCAGTGGCGCATGTGTGCTCAAGGTTTTACGATCACGGACTGCGCAGTGCTCGCTGCTCACGGACAGTGGCAGTAAAGCCGTGAGCGGGCACGCAGCTGGCGGTGTCGTGACGGGGTGTGGTCGACCTCCGGTGGATTGGAGGTAGTTCTGCCGACTGCCTCGGCGGGCCGTTTGATATCATCTGGCTCTGAGTCATTTGGCATTTTTCAGCCCCGCTTTAGCGTCACGGTGTTATCAAAGAAGCGGTGCCGGCGAAATGACAGTTATCAAGCCCTAGGATGACTTGTGAACGAGTTAGATGTCTCCGGCTTCTCTACACATATGATTCATCGTGCCAAGCTTGAGCAGATTTGGGCGCGTTGTTCGTTTATATTCACAGAACAGATAACATTCACGTTGTTTAGGGGCTGTGGGGATGTCCAATGTCCTCCATTTCAGGGCTTTAACCTTTCTCTCAGTAGTCATTTGCCACCAATAAGACCACAGGCTCACTGGCGTGAGTTGTGGCTGCAAGCTCCTGCCTATTTTGTTTGATGTGGCCTTGATAATCACTGGTGGGTTATCGCAAGAAAATAAAAGAACATTAGATAGTTATAATATTTTCTCAATGTATTATAAATAGCCTTTCTTGCAGAATATCATTTATATACTTCCTCCGCACTTTTACCTTCCAAATAATAAGCTTCCAATAACAACCATGTGGTACCTCATAGGCTCATACTATTAATTTAACAAACGGTTTCCGCTGTATCATTAAATCTGACGGAGTGTGCTGCTTACGGTAATGACATCGGACGTCACCCAATTATCTTGTCTGGTACTTCTGACGTAGATAGTTCTTCTTTCCACCGTAGTGGGGGAACGTTGACTGACGTCAATTGAGCCCAAGTAACTGTTTATTCGTGCCTTATCCGCTACACCATCCTGCTGTGACACGACGATGTTTAGCTCTTTAGTGGCGACAACCGTTAGGTATATACATAGCTCGAAAATACGTAGTTGGTGCCAAATATGCTCAAAATGTCCGATCATATTTGTGATGCTTCCGTTAATGCTTTCCTTAACCCGCGCCCCGTTGGGCTCTGCCGAGCAACGCGCCCCGTTGGGGGGGGGGGGGCATTTTGGCCCCCCCCTAAGATCTCGAGAACCACGCAACGTAGCGACAAGCGGCAAACGGTGTTGGATAGCCCTATCAGGGAACTACCTTGTGACCCAATTTTATTGACCTAGGTCAAACCGATGACGTCACAGGTCAGGTCAAAGGTCCAATTTTCACCGTTTACAGGCATTTCAAGAAATGCGTTGTAAAATCGAGTAAAATGCATTTCATTGAAAATCATCGATGGGGAAATGTTCTTCAAACACATATTTTGCTATTTGAGGTCACTGATACCAGGTCAGGTCACTGAGGTCAGGTCACTGGGGGGTCACAATATGAAAGTGACGTGTGATACATGTTTTATGGTCCATTTTACATGACAAATGCGATTATGTGGGTCAGGCAGCCTTTGGGACCAGCTTAGGTCACGTTTTGGTCAAGGTCAGGTCAAGATCAGGTCAAGGTCAGGTCAAATAAGGTCAAATTTCAAAGTTGATATTTTTGCATAAAATGGGTATCGAATCGATGCAGCTCGTCACGGGGAGTTCAATGGTGGTCTTTTTTTGCCGTACGAGGTCTAGAATCGCTAAAAATTGAGTTCAAAAATTTGACGTCATCATTTTTGAACAGTTTTTTTCGCTATAACTTGGCCAAAAAACGAGATATCGATCAGAAATTTGGTATGTATATAGAAGAGCGCAGGGACTATCACATATATTCCGGTTTTTTTCGAAATTCGGAAAAATTTTGGATTGATTTTAGTTTTTCTAAAAAAATCAATTTTTTGAAATTTTTTGGGTCAAAAACCCAAAATTTTGAAAATCCGAGATAGCAGTTTTGTAGCGCCGCTTTTTGTCTATTAGACCTTATAAAGAACTTTGAAATTGCTTGATAACTGTAGATTTGGTGAGCGTTTCAAGATTGCATGTTTTTTGCTCATTTTTGCTCGAACATGACCTCAGTTTGACCTCAATAACTCCTGACCTAAGGTGACCTAAGACTTGAAATTTAGTGTGAAGGTGTCAAATTGATGCCCGGAAAGGTACTGAAAATTTGGCGGCGCTGCGCGCCGCCGTTTTCTTGCTATTCAGGAAAAGCTACAGGGGGGGGGGGGGGGCAAATTGCCCCCCCCCCCCAACGGGGCGAGGGTTAAAAAAGCAAATAGCAAATCCATAGCTAATTAACTTTATCATAATGAGATGTCTCCCCATAGTCCTCTTGGTCGCTCCACTCCTCTCATCTATAGGTATGTACCAATCTCTCTCCTTGCCACTCGTTTCCAAATCCGTCTCTCCCTAATCAGGCGTCCTCCCACCAGCCCGGTCAGGTTAATGGCTCTCCGTCTGACGCCGAGTCGATATCATCTGATACACGTCTGCTGTGACACTGTGCAATAGATGGCGTCCGCTAATCCATGATTCCATCGTCGCAGAGGCGCCATGTTTCGCCCCCGCGCCGTCCGAAAAAGGTGCGCCAGGAACGTCGAGTAGCATTTAAGGCGAGATGTGAATTCGTGCTGGGAAAGGGAAGGACTATGTATATGAAGGGATATTGCGGCCATATGATGGGTTGATGGTGCAGGGCATATTGGAGAGGCTGTGCCTCAGACAGAGGGTTGGGGGAGATAGGGGGGACTTGGGGCAGGGGGTACAGAAGGTGCAAACTGCAGTGATAGCCTGGTATCATGCAGGTGCTGGTCGCTATGTATGCAGGGCTGTTCTGATTAGTATGTTGGAGTTGCAGCTGATAGTATATCGGTGGCATAGGCGGACCCAGCCAGATGGTTTCAGGGAGCAGCGGGAAAGTCGTGCCCGTCGTTCATTTTTTACCGGTGTACGATATTGCTTCATATATCCTTAATTATTTCACACAACTTTTACTTTAGACATATATAAGGACCCCGCTTAACCACTCCCCAAGTGGATCTGCAAGTATTTTCTAATGTTAGCAGATATCAAGATTATGTTCTTCCTGAAAAAAGACAAGTTTAATGACTCGGAAACCGTTCGGTCACCACTCTTCGTGTGACCGAACTGGTTGCAGTGCTACACAGTTGCCATCATATCAATGACTCTTGGAGGCGTAAACTACACTCGAACTTATGCTGTTTTTGTTTGCCACAAATCTTTGCAACTCATGCCATTCCAAAGTTGTTTTCGATTGTCTTCATATTCAAAAACAAATTGAACCAAAATATAGCTCCGTCTCATTGTCGTCCGTAAACTGGGACTACTAATTCTACGAGCATAGCTGAAGAATTGCGATATGTAGCACCCAATCGTTGACCCAATCAAATTTGTATATGTTTTCCTCTGTGGTGCTCTGCTCTGGCTGCGATGGATCGATGTGAACTCCGAGCTGGCCCTGACCCCGGCCAACCCCGGCCGATTACTCAAATACCAGTCCGATGAAGTCAGTTCGAAATCGACCGACTAGCCCGCTCCGCCCCACCCCCGCCCTGCCCCCGAGCCCAGCCGGCCGAGGTGGTCTGGTAAATATTTTTGTCGGGCCGTCAATCAGCGTATGATGGCACGTCACAGCCCAGACGGGGAAAATCGAGACGCTTTTCTGACGGCCGACCAGGAAAACACGTGCAGCGGCGTTGCATGCGCTACCCGGCTTGTTGGCAGCGCGGCAGTAGCGAGCGATGGCGGGCCGGGGAAGTCCGACTTTTGTGTCGGCCTGCGGATGGGAGATAGTTGGAGAATGTCGCGGAACAATGGCGGATCCAGTCGAGACATGGGGAAGGTCTTGTGTTCACACCTAAAACGTTAAAACGAGTTTACTTTTGTCAACACTTTTTCGCAAGAAATTGCTCTTTTTTGAGTTTCTACAAAAAACGCAAATTTTGAATAGGTACGTATACCTTTTTATACAGAGGTCTATGATAGGTACTATAGCACAGTTTATGTAGGTATGCATGCTTTAACCCTCGCCCTGGCAGGGGGGGGGGTCGATGCGACCCCCCCCTAAGGTTTTTCGAAGATAGCGTAAAAACGGCGGCGCGCAGCGCCGCCAAATTTGGCACAGCCTATGGGGCAACCTTTTTACATATGACCTGAAAATTTCAGGTCCGAGTGACCTAAGGTCAGGTCACCAGGTCAGAAAAACCGGTACAAGGCCATGGTCAAATTTCAATTTTCTTTTATCACCTGTCCAACTCACAGTTTTGGACTGATTTCCTTCAAACTTTCAGGATGTGCTAAGTTCACCGAGTTGTATAACATATAGTTCGGGTTTTTTTAGGTCACTGACCTGAGGTCATTTAGAGGTCATTACGTCGTAATGTTAAGCCTATGGGAAAATACTAAATTCGGAAAATACTGGAGATATCCGCTTCATTCCAACACTTTGGTGCTTTGAAACCACAGTACTTAACAGCAGGTCACTTGGTGCTTCTTTGTTTGGTGTACTTATACATGGGTCAGGTCAAATGAGGTCAACTGAGGTCAAATGACGTTTATGCCAATAACTTGGCACACAATGACGCTAGAGCTTAAAAAATGGTATCATTGTGTTCCTGGTGATCAGCCGAATCGAATGATATGCGATATGATGCAATTTGGTTAACTTGAACTTAATTTATAAATTTAAATTTACCTACTTAAAATTTAAGAAAAACTTTAAGTACACTTAAGCAAGCTAACAAGTATATCATTCGACGCGCCTTGACGTGCTGAGTTCACTGGTGCTTTTCTTTTGCTCTATCTTAATTAGATCTAAAGTTATAAGCGAAAAACTTTTGACCTGTTTTTAGCGAAAATTTTACATTTATACCCCCCAAAACCCCCCTAAATATTGACCTAGAGCAACCAAATTTGCACAGGGGCGAGAACTCCAAGGGGCCCACCTACCTACCAAATTTGGTGTTTCTAGGTGCCATAGGAGCCAATCGCGAGGGGGGGTCGCATCGACCCCCCCCCTGCCAGGCCGTGTTATGAAAAATGCCCTGCCAGGGCGAGGGTTAACCTTTGTTGTCAGTAACCCCTAACTCAAAAGTGTCCTTAATAAGACTCATATATGCTGCATAGCGAAGCACTAACACGGATGTGAGTAATGTAGCAAGTATTAGCTACCAAATCAAATTGAGCGAGCTGTGTTTCTTATAAACAATTTTCAAGAGCAAAGTCCCGGCTTCAACTCTACTGTCGTTCCTGTATGGCTGAACTTTGCGATTGAAGCGTGGCGGAGGCTGGCACTTAACAACACAGTGAATTTGATTTTTGTTTGCAAATGATGTCACGGTGCTAAGATGTTTCCGCTTTGATGTTATGCTACTCGTAGGTGTCAGTTTCTTGAACAGGTGGGATTGTCCATGATGAAAGCGCTGCCACCCAGAATACTGTGATAAGCAGTGTGCGACTCTAAATCCCATCATATGGTACTGATGCTTAGCTCGCTTTACGCAAATATCGTGCTAATCCGATTGGGCTTAAATCGTAATACACGACTTAGCGCGCACTGCGCAATGCGCATGTCTTGTGCGGAATGCGGAAGATGTTACCCAAATGGCAAACAGCTATGCCAGCTTTGTGAATTTCTGTGCCTATGTATACGTAGAGAGTTCAGAGGGGTGATGTTCCTATTTTACTCCAGTCCGCAAGTCACTTTGTGACAAAACGGTAAACTGCGTTGCAGGCTTCATATAAGAAAATGTCAGACAATAAGCATGATGACATAGCATGCATGACCACAGGCCACCTAGTTAATAGTATGCTTGTTAAGATGGTCATGCGTGTTGTTTTCAATAGGTATTCAAATAAATCATAAAAATAAGGAATCACCAAAGGTACAAGTGCCAAATTGCAGAGTGATTCGTTTTGGATGAAAACGGGCGAAAAAGATTGTTACCGTGTTCAGCCATCCAACGCCACTTTTTAGAGACGTGATATGCTTGGTTAGCCTTTTTTCCGTCTGTCAATCCCTGAAACATCTCATTTGTCACTCTGGTGTTATCTTGGCACATTTATAGATGCTGATGAGATAAACAATCGCCACTGAAATGTTTACAGAACAAAACAAACGTCGTCAGACCCCGAGACTGGTGTCTAGACAAAGCTCTTGGTAACAATACCAAGCGAATGAGCATTTCTCTCACCGCCTGTCTTCTACCGCCATTGTCTTTGACACGTGCTATCATTCCACTGTAACAAATGACCGACTCAGCTTCTTGCTCTAATGCAACTCCCAATGACTCTTCTCTGTTCCCCAGGCAATTTCCGAGCTGGAGACGAGGGCACCATTCAGAAGCGGCTCTGTGGTCGAGAACAGGAGTGCCTCAAACAGCTCATGCTGGACCCGCTCAGGCCATACGTACCCGAGTACAGGGGACAGGTATGTATCTAGATTAAATGAGAAATTACATACAGTATTAAAAAAAAACTCGTCCGATATCCATTGTGAACTATTATATTGGAAATTTGGAAAATATTGTTTAGTTGTTTTGTTTTTAATATTCAACAGAATGTAGATTCAAAAGAGAAATAATTTAGAAACTGATTTGAATGAAGTAACGAAATTTCCGGATGTTTTTTTTTATGGCAGCAAGATGAAAATCTCATTGATTGTTCATTATAATAACATTTCCAGATTATTTCCACTAAAGTGAATCGTTAGAAACGAGTGTAGTCAATGCAAAAGCCATACTCGCTGCGGCACGAGTTTCCTACACCAGGAGGCCAGGTTTCGTCTCTCCGCACCTGCCATCTCACACTGCACAGTGCACGCGGCACACCCCCTTCATCCGTTGCAATCAGTGAGAGCAGTGGTGCCCGAGGGCCCGCCGCACGCGGCGGCGCGTCGGCCCCGTGCACCACTCCTCGTTGTAGCGTGAGCCATCAGCGTCACAGGTCAGATTAGCGACTGTTTATCGGCAACGTACCCGCTAATCTGAGCCAAACCCGCCGAGCCAATCACTGGCGCAGCACGGTGTCAATTGCAAGCTGTGCAAAGAATGATGAACGGCCCCCCTGAGCGGACGCTCGCCTGGTCGCGGCAGCCGCTTGTCGCTCGCGGCGGCAAAATCTTGTGACTGGGTGTGCTGTTAGACAGGCAGGACGCCTGCTTGACGAGGAATTCTTGTCGGGATAAAACGGACGAAGAATGTAAATTTGATATTGTGTTGAAACTTTGTAATTCGTTTAGAGGCTGATGTAGGTGATAACAATGTATGTTAGCGGTTACTATGGAGAAAGTGAGAAGTCCCCTCCAAAGGAAACGATTTAGCAAGGTACACATTTCAGGACACTAATAAGTAGGTAAATGAAAAAAAAACGGGCTATCGACAGAGGATGCATACAAATGCCTACACGCTTGAATTGATGACACTTACGGACGTACGGTGCAAAGACAGGCCGCTCAGTGCGCATAAAAAGAAGTAAACAAGCATTAACTTTTCGTTTATCTTACTTCATACAATTAAGCGGAAAATGTTGATGTGTGCGTGTGACTGTGTGTGTTTTCTTTGCTTTTTGCTTTTGAGTGCTTCCCAGCGTTGCAAACAACGGTCAGTGTGCACATTCCTAGAAAATGCAAATATTTAAAATATTTATTTAAATATTTTAAATGCAAATATTTAAAATATTTACATTTTCCAGCAGCATCGTTTATGTATTTCCCATAGTGATCATTGATTAGATATAAACTGCTCTAAAAATGCAAATCGCTTCATGGTCGCAACCCGCTAAGAATGGACAGTCTTTCTGCAGTCCGCAAAAAAAAACATAAACAAGAAATATTGACAATAATTGTATGCCTGATAGTCGTTATCATTATCATTTTGCAGCGCCGGCCATTTTCATTCTCAGCCCGCTTAGATGGTTTAATAACGCTCGTTGACATCCTATATAGATATACCAGATCTGGTGACACGCTCGCTTTATTTGGCGCGAGCTCAGACAATGCCTACCTTTAGTTCAGCCCCGTGACGCAAATGCATATAGATTGCCTTTTGATGTGGCTTTCTTTCTGCAGAAATAGGCACACAATCGCTTTTTAGGACGATGCATGCTCCGTTTATGAGTGATTGAAAACTGGTTATCTATGTCCGAGAAATAGAAAGAACTATACCTCGACCGGCATGCAATGCTGTCGTCAACTGGGGCTCGATTCTGATATTCCGTTCCATCTGCGCAATACAGTTACACTGCAGCATATGGTTTGACGTCAGTATGTTTATTCAAAAACACCGAGACCAGTTATAGGTCCCAGTTTCACCTTTTGTGGCGAATGTTTTTTATTGTTTATTTACCATTCGTGAACAGGTGGCGAGGAGCAGCACGCTCTAAACATGCCGGTTATGTAAGCGCTGGAATTCTATGAAACAAAGCTTGCATATCACGCTGCCTAATAACGTTTATAATAGTTGGCTCTGATTCTGGCAAGCATGGCTCACTCTGTTATCATTGAAGCGTACATTCTTCATTGATGCACTTGCTGTTCTTTGTGCAACGGTGGATTAAATTACGGAAATTGGACGATTTGCACTACCCCTAGACGTTTTTGAAATATTCTACGTTCTAATGAAGTGAAACAAAATTGCGTTTTCTTGCTTTATGCTTTGTTTAGGAATGACTTATTTCAAAGGACAATTGTGGGCTTTGACCGTCCCAGGACTTGCAATGCGTCTACCAATATTCTCACATTTTTTAACCTCCCGTGACTTACAGCGACATCCCACGAATTCCGTGATGCATCGTAACATCCCTTTGACACCGCTGTGACCGGCAGATCGTCACGGAGGACGGTGAAGACTTTCTGCAGCTGCAGGACCTGCTCGGAGAGTTTGAGGAGCCCTGTGTCATGGACTGCAAGATCGGCGTCCGCACCTACCAGGAGGACGAGCTGGCCAAGGCCAAGGAGAAGCCCAAACTCAGAAAGGTACGTCTTACCTTTAGCTCTTCGAAGACTGGCCTCGCTTTTTACATCTCCGACCTAAGTGATTGACATCTTTCGCTCATTTTTATCATATTGTATTGATTTAGGTCATCTCCATGCATTTAACAATACTATTTCATTGTTATGATCCATTAGCTGAGTCAGCTGGCGCATTTTGACGTAAAAGGTAAGACGAATGCACATCGTCTAATTAAGTATATCCAGCGTGCAGTGTCATGCCCTATCTGATATTATTGACAGTTGTTTTGACCACATGATTTGCGTCTACCTGCTGCCATTCAGTTCTCACATGTCCGTCCTTTTGTTTTCAGGACATGTACGATAAGATGATGCTGATCGACAAATCAGCTCCCACCGACGAAGAACATCGACTGAAAGCAGTCACCAAGCCCAGGTGTGTGGTGCTTTCCTGTTCGTGACGGCTTCGATAGAGCGCGTCGATTTTCATGCTCTTTTACATAATCGTAAATGCTTGGCATTTTGTGCGCTTAGGGTGATCAGTGTTCCCCGAAAGTTAAGAATTGGGTAATTATCAGTGGAATCCATGAAAGTGATACAATTGTCCAGTGTTAATTTCTTAACTTGCATAATTAAAGCTGTTGACTGTGGATTGCGACGTTGATGAAGCTCAGTTTGTCATCAGCTAACAGAATTTGCCTCAGATATCGCTATTTCTAATGACCTCATAGGTGAGCCCACTTGGTGAACCCATGGGAACGTGCCTACATTAGGCATAATATATCTTGGAGAACGCTTCCTTTGTTAGTTGTGTGTTCAACTGAAGCTATTTTGTCTGCATTCCCAGATACATGGTGTGGAGGGAAACGATCTCATCCACTGCCACCCTCGGCTTCCGCATCGAGGGCATCCGCAAGAGCGAGGGCTTCTCCAGCAAGGACTTCAAGACGACGCGGAGTCGGCAGCAGGTCAAGGAGGCTGTCACCATGTTCACAGAGGGATACCCTGACGCAGTGGTAAGTCGGAGATGCTCAGGTATTGACGAACTGTCATTTCTTATCTTCCTCAGGAAAATGATAGTAATTCGTATTCGTTTCGGGCTAAACTGAGGTAAAAATTGTTAAAAACCAAATATTTCGGCTTTATTGAGTAGCCTTGTTCACTGGTTTGCTATTTGCTACCAAGTTAATTCAGTGTCTCATTAACTTTGTGCTTAAGTGCGGTAAATCGATACGTTCAGTTTGCTCTACTTGTTTGTTTGCAGTCTCATCCAATGCATGATAATTTATATTTACTTGCTGACAGCCTGTAAAAAAAAAAAATAGAAAACGAAAAAGCTTGTCGCATATCCAAACGATAGTGCCATCCCGACTGGCTTGCCCCGGCTATGAACCAGGTAGTGCGGTATCACTCTTCCCGGAACGTTTATTACCGCTTAGTCCGTTCCGGTGAGCGTTTCGTGCCCGGCCGGCTCTGGGGACTTGTCTCGTGTGGCTGAGCGCATCACCAGCTGGCGCTTTGTGTTCCAGAGTCAGTACCTAGAGAGACTGGAGCGGATACGAGCGGCGCTCAGCGAGTCGCACTTCTTCAAAACGCATGAGGTAATACATCCACCGTGCGGCTAGTCTTTCAACTCGAGATGTTTCATGGAAATGTTTTTTTTTTTTTGTTCTGTTTTGCTGTGTAGCTGAAAGAGGGATTGAGAAGCTTATCTTCCTGTCTTTCTGGAACTGTTTCTGGGGATGCATTGTGTCTCCTTATTTTGTTTAGCTGAAATTGGCTTTGCTGAGACCTGTTGCGAGTTTGCCCACCTTTTGGTACGTTTCTTATCATGATGTTGCATCATCAAGCGCACCGCTGCTGCCCATTATCCCAACTAGTGATTAACATGTCGGCCACAACCGTGGTAGGTACCAAGAACACCAGGGACCCTCCTCTCTTCTTGTAACGCATCACATCCACGCTTCCCCTCTCACAACTGCGACTAGCAGCACTGACGATGCGCTCTTTCCTCTCGCAGTTTATCGGCTCGTCTCTCCTTTTTGTCCACGACGCGTCGCACGCCTCTGTGTGGATGATCGACTTCGCCAAGACGACTCCGCTGCCTCCCGGCGTAAATATCAGTCACGGCGCTCCCTGGAGGCCGGGAAACCACGAGGACGGCTACCTGACCGGCATCACCAGTCTCATGAGCATCCTTCGAGAGATGGATGCCGAGGCTAGTCCCTGAGCAGGACGACCGGGAGCCTTCCGAGCAGTGGAGACATTTGTGAGAGAGATGCCAGCGGAGGCCAGCCCCTGGACGGACAATGGGATGGGATGGATTTTTGAGAGGTATACTTCATTGAAGACAGGTTGCGAGCGTCAACAGCACCAGGAAAAGACAAATGCTAAGATCAAGAGCACTATCAACACCCGGTGATGGCAGTATTAGACAAAAACGGCTTTGTTTCTGATAAAGTCGAAACACGTGACCACGGACTCATGAGATGTTTTCTGGCAATATCAAGGAAGCGTTAAATTTACACAGTCAAAACAGGCGTGAATGGTATGCCTCCAGTGTTGAGACGAGCCCTTTGTTTGTGAAACCTAGATGAATTTCTCCTTTTCTTGTTTTGAAACAACATGACAAAGGACCTGTAACTATTTTTCCTGAGTGCACAAATAACATTTTTATCACTTTGAAGACAAGATCTGGGTGCTGCGCTTGAAGGAAGACAAGTGAAAGTGGAAGACAAGTGGTTTCAACGATATGAAACGTTGTAAATGAGAGGTGGCTTGCTTGCATCTGTTGATTCAAGCTCATGCGCAGGCCAGCTTTGGTGATGTGTTTTATTTTGGTAACAATCCACAATGACATACACTTTTTATCTCCTGATGATGCTAACTAATACATACGCTGGCTTCAGAAAGGGCGATGAGACCTATTTAGACCGATATAATTGTCTCTGTGTGCATTTCGCAGTTTGTTATTCAAATGACAACTGAGTGGAAAATGACTTTCAAGTCTTCTGTGAATTGAGTGCTCAACATCGCCTGCCTTGAAAAAGTCACTCGAATCCTGAACCGGAAATGTCAACTTTCATAAGCGGATACCTTCAAAAGCCAATCGTCCATCTTCAAAAGCCCATTTCGATTGGTCTACGTGACAACCGATATTGTTATCGTGCCTGTGACTTAGCTTTTGATAATGTCAAGACCCACGGCATCCCCAAATCGCCTACAAAGCGTTCTGACGGTACCCATTGGTTCACACGAGTGTCGCCGAAATGTTCGTTGGTGTGTACAGTGATCCTCGGTGGCCTCCTGATTGGCTCAGGGATGACAGCTCTGTATCTGTCGGTCTGTCAACGCCCAACACGGCCCTAAACCTAGCCTGGGGCTGGACAGAGGCAGCTGCTGTCCTGTGTCTCCGCCTCTCTGTGTCTTATCCGCCGCGTGGGCCGGGTGCGGCGCCGTCTGGGCCTTTGGATCTCGTCGCCCGTCGAGTGCCCAGTGGCCGGTGTCTGAAGGTTGGGTGTCGCGGGCCGCTAAGACGGACCCTCGGCGCGCTATGTGATGGTGTAGTGAGCTGCGGGAGGGTGACGTGTGCCGGTTTGTGCCTAGCTGTGTTGGGTTCAGGATGCCGATGCGCACATATTGTGTTTATCGCATAACCTCGGGTACACGCGCGCGATTGTTTGAGCTATGTTTACCTCGCGCAGACAGCGTGTCGACGCCTCCAATGTACAAAGGCATACACGATGCCGCTGTATTGAAGGGAATGTATCAGTCATGTATGGTGCTTATTATAATTTGCAATAGAATATGCTTTTAATTACGACACTTTAAAACTCCTCGATAGCGATATTCTTAATGTCTGTGAGGATGTATCTTCATATCATTTTCAAATCAAGTGATCGTATTTTTAGCGACATACCACTCTTTTTTCCCATTGTTTATGACATTTTTCCATAATGAAGCAGTCCTGTTATGCATTAAGTAATGTATTCAGCTGTATAAAAACTGGTCCAAACGGGACGCGCTCTTTCGAGCTCGGGTATAACAGACCAGCTGACCGGAGCATCTTAACCCTCGCACGACCAGGCCATTTCTCATAACACGAACGACCAGGGGGGGGGTTGTTACGACCCCCCCCCTGGCGTTTCGAAACGGAAGGTCGTAGAGCTTAGCGGAAAAGACCAACGGATTGCTCTCAACGAGATCTCGCGATTGGTGGTATATTTTTTGGTCCTAGGTCAACATTTGACCTACTTTTGACCGGTCAAAAGTCAAATTTTCGGAAAAATAGACTTTTTTCAACTTTCGGCGGCGATTGCGGCAAAACGGTGGGAGATATCGACTTGAAACCTTCACTATCGTGTTCCTTGATCAATTCTCTATCGTTTGGTATGTATTTCGTTTCCCTAGCTCTAAAAATGGCGCGTTGGGAGCGCCGGAAGTCGGCAAGGTCACAGTCGGCGGCAGAAATTCGAAAAATCAAAATTTAAATTTTTGAAATCTGATTGTATTTTTGGATTTGGGAGGTCTATTTGCTCCCTGTAGAAGCTAATATTGCTGCATATTCCCATTGAGGTGACAAGAATTAGCAAAATAGTGGTTCGGGCGCTTTTCAAAAATAGTACCGGACGCTGTTCCTCTTGTGACGTCATAGCTCCGTGACCTGACCTGACCCGGTCAAATTTCTTATACCATATGATAGCCAATACTTGCCCCAACATGCATGGGAAGTTTCATCACGATCCATCAACCGATGTCCGTACCACCGGCAGGAAACCTCGGGCGTTGGCACTCAGTTTGTGAAAATCCGGCCGGAGGCTGTACCTCTTATGACGTCATAACTCCGTGACCTGACATGACCCGATCAATTTTTTTTCGGCAAAAGATGCGCAAAGGTTGCCCCATAAGGTACCCAAAATTTGGCGGCGCTGCGCGCCGCCGTTTTTGCACTATTTCCGAAAAACCTCAGGGGGGGGGTTGATACAACCCCCCCCCTAGGCGTTCTAGGGTTAAACATACAACAGTATCAGGCAGAAGCTGCCTGCGAGTCGTTCCCAAGCGAGCACGCTACAGCAGACATTCGTGTGACGAAGGGGAGTTGGTAAAACTGCGACCCTTCAGAGCAGAACTAGTTAGCTAAAACAGCGTGGCATACCTACCAGAAGCGTAGCTAAATATGCTTACATACAAACGGGAACACTGACTTGCAGACCGCAAATAACAGTAGCACTCAAAATAGTACACGAAGCAAATAAGAGAGAGCGACCGTTCTGCTCGTATGTAATGCTCCCACATACTACATAGTAAACTTGGTAACTAGAATTGGCAGGGACAGCAGCACCCTGCACATCATTTGTTCTACCACTTTTGCTGTCTAAAGCACGATACAGTTCAGGCATACAGACGTGTAAAATTGGAAGGTTCACTTCGGATGAACACTGAGGATGCGACCCTAGGCAAACGAAAGTAGTAAAACGCATTCATGTTCTATCAAAATATTCTGATCTTTTGATGAATATTCTGATAGACGCAGGGTATTTGGAACTAAAAAACTCTGTCCAAAGTAGCGATGTGTGGTTAGAAGCTATCTTAGTTTATTCCGCGAAGAAGTGCGACACATCATGCAAGCAAATGGAAGCACACTGATCGGCTCATTGAAGCACAAAACAACTTCTGCTACGATGCAGTCTGCTTGCAATCATGTATAACTCAATATTCGACTTTGATCAAGAGAGCAATGGATGTAGCCCTTTACGCTGCATTATCATACGGTGTGTCCTTCGCCAGGGGCCTTTGGGTCCCTCCATCAAAGTCTGAAACTGTACTCCGCTCCTTCATCATTCCTCAAGGCCCCAAACGGTATCTTCTCTGTCGGTCAGTCCTTCGGTGGGTATCTTCTCCGTCAGTCAGTCCTTTGATTGGTAGCCCCTCTTTCCTCCTCCCCTCAGGCGGTAGCTGCCGCTCTCTCCTGCTGTCTGACGGCCTGCTCCGCTCCTCTCTCCACAAATGTGAACTGAATGGGTGCGTCCGGTTTACAGTTGAGCTGCATCTTGAGCCGCAGAGGTCGGCCGCTGTACTCGACGCGGAACCGTTGCAGAATCTGCCGATAGGTGCAAATAAGAAGTGTTACTGAAGGCCCTACCACCTAGCAGGATTGGGAAGCACTGTTATGTTTGAAAATATTTTAGGGGGACCTTTCGGTCTGTTGAGACCATTTCAGGGCCGGAAGGATGATAGGAATTGGGGAGAGACATCGGTCTGGGCGAACACCCTGTCGCTGGGGCCTGGGGACTGAGCCCGTCCAGAGGACAGGCCGACCAGCCCCCCCCCCCCCCAGCACTCACCGCACCCGGCTATGGGCGTGCTCTTACGGGCAATCACATGGATAAAGTTGCCCGTCCAGCCCGGAGCAGGGGAAAGAGGTGTGGAGGAGAAGGATTTGACTGTCCTGAGGATGGAAAACAGGGAACGGAGGGAGAAGAGAAGAGCGCACACGTTCGCCATGGAGAGCGGCTTTGAATTATAGGTAGTGCGTAAAATTCAGTATGGGTTAGGGGCGTGGAATAGATGTAGATTAGATGTAGCTCCCTGATTAGATGTAGATTTCGTTACTCAAAGTCATGAACTATATAAGTAGCTTACAGCTCATATACCGAGGTAGAACCAAAAAATGATTAGTGGGAGTAGGCAGATCCGGTAAGCGACGGTGACCCCGACCGTACCCTGGTGGCGAAGACGAGAAGCTCATGTTCGGAGAGTCGCCGTCCGATGCACATTCTTGGCCCGTGAGAGAACGGCAGGCTGGCGAACGGTGAGGGGGCGCTGGCAGCGGCGGCAGGGGCGCCCTCTGCTGCCGGACAGCGCAGCCACCGCTCCGGGAGGAAGCGACTCGACTCGCAGAACTCACTGCCGCTTCGTGACGTCATGCTGTTCACCATGAACACCACCTTCTGTCGGCCGCAGAGGGAGAAAAGGGTGAATGATAGAAAAAAAAACCTTCATCATGTGCGTGTGGTAGTTGCACATTGCACGACGAACGTACCTACTGAACATCCTGCATCAAAATTCCAAGCATTTACAGTACAATTGCCATATTATATTGCATCCTTCATAGCATTTGAAACTCACGCCTTTTGGAATGCAATGATCTCCGAGCACGATGTCCTTGCCCAGCTTCCGCGCAATGCCGAGGATCGGGGCGTTCATCCTGAAAAAGAGCTGCCACTTTTCACTAAGCGTATGGCTTTGGCTACTGCATAGTGCGTGCTCCTTTGCATTTTATATTGTGCTGCTTCTTGCAGCACCATTTCGTATAACGTATCAAGCGGATATTCGCATAAACTCCAACCCTGTTGGCTGTTATCAGTAGGTAAATCAAATTGATTATCGAGTTGATTGAAATGAGCATGGACAATTTAATATCATTCCTAAGAACACCAACATTAAGCAGACAGTTACGCTGAACAAAAATATTTCCTGTGTTCGTTCATAGTTAAACCGTACCGGAGATTTTCTTTGACGCAGGCGCGAACGTAGTTGAGTCGTCCGGTGTGTTCCTTAGCGATCAGTTCACCCGGAGGGGGCGCCGACTGTAGGATCTCCTGATAGGCGCGCTCCTGGCACTCGGGGTTCGTGGCCAGGTGGTAGATGAGACACGTCAGGGACATGCTGGTCTGAAAACATCAGTCAGAATCGTGAGTTGGAGGCCAAAGTGCGCTGTGTGGTGTGTCAATGACCACTTAGCTCATTGAAATGAAAAAAGAAAGACGAATAAATATGGTGATTCCAATGCCTAGATATATTTCATGATAATGAAAAAAGACTGATAACCAAGAAGTTCCAAGTTTCAAAGCACGAAAAACCGTTCAGACACCACAGTCGACCATCACGAACCGTGTCTACGCCACCGATGAAGAAGTCGACCACCAGCGCCTTCAGCTGAGGCCGGGTCAGCCCCTTCTCCAGCAGCATTGCCAGCATGTTCGGCTCAGAGGCGGTGTCCTGACTCAGCGCCGTCGTGATCCACTTGTCCGCCATCCTGGAAAAGGAGAAAATTAATATGTTGTGTGATTCACATGAATAAATGCGACGGGGGCGATGGTGTCACATATTTATTACAGTAAGGTAGCACGAGACTTACATATAACTTGAACGTTGATGGTACTTTTTAAAAGCATATATAAATCAACTCCTCTTATTTAGTCAGCCACATTTGTTTATCACAATCTCCAATAATTCTCATCATCTTCCGCTTCACTCTCAAAGTACCAGCTCCACAGTTCCCGCAGCACCCATATCCCACTCACAAGTTGAAGTAGTCGAGTGCGTGTGTCAGCCGCTTCCACTGCGGCGTGGCGACGTAGCGCCAGGTGTTGATGTGCATCTCTAGGTCGGCCGTCAGACTGAAGAAGTTGCCGATGTTGTGCAGCAGCAGAGATCGCTCGTCGGGGTCGCGGAACGCCGTCGAGCCGCAGCTAACCTTCTGAATCACTGTTCAACGGACATGTTTGGTGAGTGAGACCAGGCCACAAACTTATACTGTATCAAAACTAAAACATATATAACGAAAAGAGAAAAGACGTCAAATGTCTCATTGCGTGAAAAGTGAATATTTGAATATTTGAATATTTGAATATTTGAATATTTGAATATTTGAATATTGAATATTTGAACATTTGTTGAGACTTATCTCACATCTATAGCACCTCAAGCACACACCATCTACAGTAGCGCGCTGGGCGTGCTGCATGAAGTCCCGCTTCAGTCGCCGCTGGTCGTCTCGATCTGTGCTCAGCGCAGCCACCAG